CCGCTGCCAGGTGCAGGCTGCGTGGGGTAGCGAGGACGCGGATTCTTCATCCTTACGGGTTGGGTCGGCGCGGGGCCTGGCCGCACCTCGTCCTTAATGTCCCTGCGTCTCCTTTCCCCACCTCCAGCCTGGAGCGCTCAGGGATAGTCTCTGCTGAGGAGAGCAAGAGACTTTAGTTAAACGTCGCAGAGGAGATGAGACTTTTCTCTCTGCGCAGCTTCCCCCTCCCCCCAATTTCCAGAACGAGAGGGGCACTTGGTAGCACTTCGTGCAGCCGCGTTTATAGGTGGGCAGCTGCTCTACATGTTCTTTTAGTCTTTAAGGTGCTGCTTGACTATTCCTTGCTTTTCAAGTTTTCCCCTTGTTTGGGTGAGTTTTCCACACAGCGACAGGAGGGAGAGAGAAATATTTAGAGAAGGGGAAATGTTATAAAACCACAGCAGGAGGCTTATGGGAAGATACTGTCCTTTCTACTAGCATTTGTTCCTTTAGATTTTACAGTGACATTTCAAAGACTTGTAAAGATTCCTGAGATTGATGCAAACAAATTGAATTATAAGAGGGAATTTTAAAGCACTGCTAATGCAATATGCAGAGGTTTTTTTCAAAGTAATTTTAATATTTTTACCTATGAGAATCAGTGATGACTTGCTGCTGATGATCACTTTTAGCCTCTTAAATTGTTTTAATGTTATCTAATGATGAGGTATGTGAAGTAAAGGAGTCTAAATAATGAGAAAAGTTGTAAGTTTCTTATCTGACAGGGTATCATCAAGTGAAGAAGGATGGTCTTATAACACATACATGACAGAGTTAAAGGTTTAGGACTCTTCTGGATTCTGCCACAGGCTGTAGGGCTTTTGGCAAATCATTTAACAGCTGTGATTCAGTTTTCCCTCTCAAAAATGAGGTTACTTTCCAGATAGTTCGTGTGTCTTGTAATTCTCTGATGAGAGATGCAATATACATTAAAAGTATTATTATAAATATAGCTATGAAATGTTAGGTCTTGATTTATGCTTAGCTTCACACATTCCCATTTAAGTTAATACACACTGCAGTTTTGGAGCCTTAGTAAACTACTAGTTAGATTTTTCTGTTTCTTTTGAACATAAGTGTGGCCATGTAGGGTTAGGCAGTGGTCAATGCCAAGTGCTTCAGAGAGAACAAAGAGAAGAGGCGATCCTCAAGTGATCCATGTTTGTTTTCTTTAAACAAAATGGCTAAAATTTTGGATCTGCTAGGAGGTACTCCATCCTTTTACTGCAGTGTACATCAACTGTGCCAGCATTAATGCTGCTAGTGATAGACCTGCCTAGCTATTCCTGTTCTTCTCCCTCTGCCAAGCGTAGGTGCCCTTTCAAAATGTCCTGCCTCCCAGATCTTATGGAGAAGGGTAGAGTAGCAAGGAAACACTGGTGCAACTCATTTACCAGCCAGTCACATTGCTCCTAGAAGCCTAACTCATGACAGGCTGCATTATAATAATAATGCATTATAATAATTAAAGAATAAATAATTCATGTGGAAGCATGTGGGCTGGTTTCTCAAAGTAATTATCTTTCTATTTAACTCTGTTAGGTGTTCATTGCCCAGTCCAGAGCTTCTGGAAGTCACCGAGATGTTGAAGATGAAGAGCTTACACGAATCTTTGTTATGATACCGAAATCCTATACAGAGGAAGATCTGAGGAGTAAATTTAAGGTATTGGTTGAGTTTTAGTTGGTCAATAGTTTAATCAATAGATTGAAATGTAAAATTTTTGTGAAATTCAGAAATGTTGGATAAAATTGTTTTAAATTTTTTTAAATCTCCTAGGTGTACGGAGACATTGAATATTGTAGCATTATTAAGAAGAAGGCTACAGGAGAAAGTAAAGGTTTGGGCTATGTGAGATATTTAAAACCATCCCAAGCTGCCCTGGCAATAGAAGAGTGTGATCGAAGTAAGAATGTGATTTGTTTCTTCCCCCTTCACTTATTTATTATTAGAAACTGAACTTATTAGTGTAAGTTTTAATGTTAGTTTTTGGCTTCGGTTTTATTAGTAGCAAAATTATTTATGGTATTAATGCATTGGTAGCCACAGGTTGCAAAATGTACTACTTTAAGCAATACATACATGCAGATAGCACTATACAGGGTACGTCTAGACTACATGCCTCTGTCACCAGAGGCATGTAGATTAGGCTACCAGGCATAGGAAAATGAAGTGGGGGGGGGATAGTCTGGATGCGCGGGTGGCGACATCAAAGGTGTTTGTCGACCACCCAGGTAAATCTCATCCCAGGAGGCATGCCTGGGTGGTCGACAAATACCTTTGATGTCGCCACCTGCGCATTCAGACTATCGTGCTGAGCCGACAAACAGGTGATCAGCTGTTTGTCTGCTCAGCGTGGCAGCCATGTAAATTTAAATGAAGATGCGATTATTTAAATTGCCGCTTCATTTTCCTATGCCTGGTAGCCTAATCTACATGCCTCTGGCGACAAAGGCATGTAGTCTAGACATACCCTAAGTTCAGTGACACTAGTCACCTGTGAAGGCACTTGCAAGATCAATATCTTAGATTTAAAGTAAGAAGAGCGAAAGTTTGGGAACGAACTACAGCAAAATAACCTGACTCTAAAGTGGGTGTATGAGTCATATACACACATGTATTTTTGATACATAGATAAATCCCATTTTAAGTTCTAAAGGAGTGCTCAAAGTAAAAGAAATCTATAATAATGCATAAACACAACATAGGTTGTAGTCACGATAAATTTTATTTGAAAAAAATTGTGCTTGGTACTGGTAATGCCTTGTTTCACTATTTTCAGACTATAGCACGCTTACAGTATCTGTTGCAGTTAAAATTGTTCTTTAGTGCTTAGAGCACAGGATTGACAAAACTAGAATCCTGTGACATGGGACAGTTAATTTAACCTCTCTTGTCCTAATTTCTTCATCTGTAAAATAGAAATAATATACACCTTTCTGTAGAGCTTTATGCTCTTCAGCTGATCTGTGAGGTAAGGCTTTATTTTCTTACACTCACAGCTGAGAGAAATACTTATAAAATATAAAGGCTTTACAGTATGAACATATTAGATAATCACTCGTGCTGACATGCTTTATTTGGTTTCAACAGAGAAAGTTCTTCAAATCTTCCTCTGTGGGCCTTCAAAAAGTCAGAGATCAAATTCTCTAAACCAGTTGGTGGGAGAGTTTAGTTCTGAAAGATAAAACCAGTATCTAAAAGCTCTGTAATATTTTATAAAGATGGTACATGTGACCAAAACAATTATTTGGTATATATTTTAATATAGTGAAATAAATACATTGTATAGTTTTGGACTGTTTAATGACCAGTTAATCAGAAATACCAAGTGAGCACCTGGTTTTTTATAATTCTGTCTTATGTGTCTTCTAACTAAATTGAAGATGCCAACCATCACATTTATTGAGAGTTAAGGCTGTTTCAGCACGTGTATGAGCCTGTATATTTTTCTTTAAACCTTCTACCCGAATGAAATTAGTAGATGGTCTGACACTAGACCAAACAGCTTATACAGATATGGTGCCTAATTCAGCACAGATTTTGGTAGGCAAAGGTTGACTGTATAGATGTCCAGCTACTGCTTGCCTCTCTGTCAAGTATTTCCAAGATGATCTTTGGGTACTATAATTCTTAATGAGATAGATTATGGGTAATGTTGCTTTCAGTCTTTTAATTGTGTTAGTCTTTTATAAAAAAAGAAACAACTGATTTTCAGTGTAACATTTTTTTTCCAATACAATGCTTATTAGAAAATTTTCTGTCATATTTTTCTTACATCTACATGATGAAATTTGAAATTATGTGGTTACTTGTTTCAGGTTACAGGGCCATTTTGGCTGAACCTAAAAACAAGCCATCTGAATCCTCTGAACGTGAATTTTACAGTAACAGCACTAGTATGAGACAGGAACCAATGGGGCATGAACCCAGAGGGAATGTGTTTCCCTTTGGTAAGTAATAACTTTTTACATTAAAAACGACTGGTAATTCTGGATAAGATCACCCAATGGTATGGTTATAGAAGTATATTCAGAGAGAGGCAAAATGAGGAGACCTTTAAAATAATAGGTCCAGGTTTTTGGTTGTTGGTTCTAACTGAAACACTTAATTTCTGTGTTGTTAAGGGTTTGGTTTTTTGTTTTACATTTGACCTTTTGCATTGGTTGTCTGAAATAAGTATGTCCTTTTTTATTATAATATGACTTAGGTCCTAAAAATGTTTTAGAAAAAAAAATATTGAAATGATCAAGATACAGTAGTATAGTGACTAGCAATGTGTTTTAATTTATCCTATTTTGATTCTTGAGAAGGCCAGCCAGAATTTCGTAGTTTTGAAAAGAGTCAGACGAGAGTTCGAGAATCCGTTTCCAAATGCCTGTCAGTGGTATCACGGCTTCCCTTCATACAAGAGCAGCTGTTCTTCCTCTTTGATCTAATCCCAGGACTGGAATATTGTGATGTTCAGCAAGATCCTCATACTAATCATGGTAAATAACAAAACAAACTTCATTCTCTCTGAAACTTTGATTCTAAAATATTGTCTGTTTCCTTCCTCTTCCTTCTTAATTCGGAATAATTCAGCCCTCTGATCAGGCCTATCAGATGCAACATTTACACCCTCTCCCTAACTAGATCTTTTATGGGTCCTAATATTTACAAAGCATGGAGGCAGCCCACAGCATTTCTTAAATTTTGGACATTCAGAAATCATAAATCAAATTGTCTGTTTATTAATAGACTCTACATCAGATGTGATGTGTCAAAGATGGGCAGAATTTCTGTTAAGGAAAAACATGGATTTGCTTTGAAGTCTCATCATGCCTTCAGAGTACAGGCAGTCCCCGGGTTACGTACGACGCCTGGGGCAGAGCAGCTGGGGTGCTGCCGGGTTGGTCCAGTAGTGCCCAGAGCGGCGCTGCGGGACCAACCGGCAGCGCCCCAGCTGCTCTGCCCCAGGGTCCACAACAAAAGCCTGGTCTGCTGGGGGGGGGGGGGGACACAGCGCTGGGGACAGTCTGGCAAAGCCTCAGAAGCGGGGGAACACGCCGCTGCTGTGGCTTTGCTCCCGGTGCCCCTGGTCTGCTGGGGACAGTCCCCAGCAGACCAGTGGCACCGGGAGCAGCTTTTCTCGCCCCAGAGGTCGAGGTGGTGGGACCGCTGCCTGAGAGCTCCGGGGCGAGAAAGCCCCGTTCGTAAGTGCGGATCCGACATAAGTCGGATCCGCGTAAGTAGAGGACTGCCTGTAGTGTATGGATTCTTTCTTAAAATAAAGTTTTAAAATGTTAAGCCTGTCAACTAGCACTGCAGAGTCAGTATAACTTCAGGAGAGTGAGTTGGATTATTTTTAATCAGTAGGTCCAAAATTATTAGTATTGGGGATTCATGTGCCAAAAGAACATAGTGGCTTAAATTGCTAGTTACAAAAAACTACCTCTCTGCTTTTAAACTGACAAATTAAGCATATGGAAATAATTGAGAGGAAAAACAGGAGCCCCACAGTGCCATTTTAATCACTTCTTTCAGAGAATAGCTACACTTTAGAAGGCAAATATTTGTGCACCAGTTAGTAGTTTGAGGTAGAGATGTGAAAGGTTAACCAGTAAGCATCACCCTTAACAGTTTCTGGTTAACCAAGTGGAGGCTGGAGCAGCTCCTTGCCCTCCCTTTGGGTAGGGGTTGTTCTAGCACTGCGGGGCCTGCTGTGGACAGGGGCTGCTCTGCTCAGGCTGGAGCAGCCCCGGGTTGAGGTAGGGCTGCAGCCTGGCCATGCCGGGCAGGGGGCCCCCCCCCAGCCACAGCAGGCTAGAGTGATCCCCTTTGCCTGAGTCCCCACTTTGGACGAGAATCACATTTAACTGATTAACCAGTTAAACATGATTTTACATCTGTAGTTTTAAAGAAACAAACATCTGTTAAATGTGGGGTTTTTTTTAATATGTATCCTATAAAGGAAGTAATTTCAAATGATTTTCAGATTCAGCTGCAAAGATTTGTTCATGTTCTACATTATTTTGTATGTTTCATACAGGGCATGCTATAATTCAGTATACTACTGCAGCATCGGCTATATATGCCAAATACAAGCTACATGGGTTTGAATATCCTCCTGGAAATCGACTAGGTGTAAATTTCCTTGAAGATGGAAGCGATGGATCAGAGTAAGTACATAGGTGAAAAGCTGTAACTCTGAGTTCTGGAAAGCGATGTTTTTCTTTGAAAAATTGTGTATAAAGGTAAGGGGGAAAGGAAAAAAACAAGAAAATGAAACCTACCACTA